GAGTAGGAACATGACTGGGATTCCATTAGCTCTTATCAGAAGAAAGCTTTAAATTGGGCCTCGATGACTTCATCGGCCTTAAAGAGAAAATTCTACTCTTGTTTATTCTCCCAAGATATCAAGTATCCCCGGATCTAGACCTCTGATGTGGGAAAGCATGTCTCCTGAAATTTGGAATAGATGAGTACTATTTTAGGCCTATAAAAGCTCACCCCTGGCAACCTGTATTGTTCTCTTCTGAGGTAAAATCTTCTGTCGCAACGTCTATGTACTCTAATAGTGTTCCACGCATGCGAGGGAGAACGACAACAAGCCCCTTGGCCTCCCTTTGAGCACTAATATACATAATTCCGGGAAGAAAATGTTAACTTAGAGACTTTGCGTGTTACATACTAGCCTCTAGCATGTAATAGGCAGCCAGTTGCCAATAAGTTTGATCGCGGCTACGATTCTACTAAAAGACCTGGAGATGGCAATTCCTTAATCCAATAATAGATGCGCACTTAAAGACGCAATCGAGAATCACTGGTATAATACAGACAGGTCAGGTTTGGTGCGATGAGTCCCAAGCAGAGATTGGGACTCCTTTTGGGTTTTGCCTGGCTTGCACTATAAAAATAGTCATTGCATTAGGGACACTACTACTCAGGCTGGAACCGATTGGAACTACGAGCGAATCGGTATGGACTAAGGTGCACTGCCATTAACGTGATACCAAGCTATAGGGTGAAGACTGTGATGCTCTTTGTCGCCATTGATGAAGCGGATCTAGCATATCTAATTATGCGAGCTGGATAAATCGATATTGAAATAAAATGACTGAAATTAATCGATAATTATCGGGTGCCTGTAATTTTTGGATTTATGGTATTCAATAGCATTAGTGGTTTCAGTTGAAACTTTATTACATGCATATGCCGTTATTCATGTGCAGCACCCGTGTAGCATAAAGTGAACTCAAGCTGGTGCGAAAATTATTGAGTAGCCCCAAGTACAGAGTCGCAAGAAACTTGACGTCCGGGCGTGAACGGTTGATCGGGGCTTCGGCAAGGGCTTGGCTCGGACCCAATATAAGTTTCGCCTGCGCCAAGACTCTAGAGCAGAGGAGGATGAGAAGGAAGATAATGACAGATTAATTGGTGTTGAATAGCTGAGACGCGAGTTGGTGACCAGAGTCTGTGATGGAGGGACCAATTTGTCTCAGCCACCATCGACCAAAGAAGTGATGATCAACAAGAAATATTGATTGAGATGCCAGACATAAAGTTTCGGAGGAAAGCACATCTGTATGAAGGACCTGTACCTGCAGATTTATGCGTTATCTACCTATGTATGGGGATCTGCCATTTCCATGTCACCATTGAGGCGAGATGCCATTCTCCCTGATCCGACCGAGGTCCCAAATGCACTTCTGGCTTGCAGGTCTAGTGGCACCGCAATTAGAAGGTCTTGATAGCTGTCCTGGACCTTTTGTAGAGGATTCCAACTTGGGAACTCGTTCATTAAATTTATGAAGAACCTTTGCAATGTCGATGCCTGCCTAAAGCAGAAGGTGCCACCCGCGTGCCATCTCCTTTATAAGCGGGGCCTCGCCCTACGACCAAACATTTGATCTGATCAACATTGACTGACAGCTTGTTGCTTTGTTCAGTTCGTGCCTACAATGCCTTCCCTTCGCGTTGTTGCTGCCGCCTGGCTGGCAATTGACCTTGTCGGTTCCGCCCTGGGCCAGGAGTTCCGGCCAAACCAGTACATCATCGAGTATGCGTCCGCCGACTCGCTGACGACTCGCGACAGCCTGGCCAGCAAGGGCGGCATTCAGGTTCGCAAGGAGTTCAGCAGTAACATCTTCAATGGTGCCAGTATCGAGACGGAGACCTTTGACGTCGACAGCCTGATCGCCCTGCCTGAGGTGGCCAACGTGTGGCGCAACAACATCTACAAGCTCGAGCCCGGCCAGTCCCAGATTGCCGAGACCAAGCCCCTCGACTACATCGTCCATAACACGACTGGCGTTGCCAAGCTGCACGATGCCGGAATCCTCGGTGAAGGCGCTGTGGTCGGTGTTGTCGACACCGGTGCTTGGTATGAGCACCCAGCTGTGAGTAAATCCCGATCTCGCAGTTCCCAAGACCCGAACTAACATGGCATCTCTCTAGCTGGGTGGTTGCATCGGTCCCGACTGCAAAGTTCTCGGCGGCTATGATCTTGTAGGCGACGAGCCCTGGCACCCTGGTCTGACCAAGGCGCCCGACTCCGACCCCAAGGACAACCAGGGCCACGGCACTCACGTGGCAGGCATCGTCGCTGGCGAGAACGACTACTGGAGCGGTGTCGCACCCAAGGCTAAGCTTCGTGTCTACAAGGTCTTCTCGGCCGCCGGCAGCGATGAGTCAGACGACGAGACCGTGATTGAAGCCTTCCTCATGGCCGCTGCTGACGGCTGTGACATCATCACTTGCAGCATTGGTAACTTCAACGGATGGCCCCAGAATGCATGGGCCGTCGTAGCGGACAGGCTCGTCGGCGATGGTATCTTCGTCTCCGTTTCGGCTGGAAACGAGGGCGATGCTGGTCCTTTCTTCGGTAGCACCGGCTCATCTGGAAAGGATGTCCTCGCCGTCGCGTCCATCTCGGCCGAGAAGCTTCCTGCTAAGTCCTGGCAAGCTAAATACAGCCCAAGCAATGGCACCGGCTCTACTGTCACAGAGGCTTACCTCCCCGCCACTGACATCTTCCCTACCGCTGTCAATGGCTGGGAGATTCGCCCCATGAACCTGGACACATCCGTCCCCGATGACGCCTGCACGCCGTACCCCTCCGACACACCCAAGCTTGATAATGTCATCCCTCTTGTGAGGCGTGGTACCTGCACGTTCGTCACCAAGGTTCAGAACCTGGCTGCCATCGGCGCCAAGTACGTCCTGTTCTACAACAACGCAGGCACCATCACTACACCAGCAAGCGTCCAGGGCGTTCTCGCCGCCATGCTCACGGCCGAAACCGGCGCCAAGATCATTGAGACTATCAAGGCCGGTGGCAATGTCACGGGTGACTTCTCATCCGACTCAGAGACTCCAGCCTTTGTCGATTGGCCCGCCGCTGGTAAGGCTAGTGACTTCACTACCTGGGGAGCCCTCAACGATTTGACTGTTAAGCCTGATGTCGGTGCTCCTGGAGGTCAGATATACTCTACTTACTTGGAGAACGGATACGCAGTTCTTTCTGGCACATCCATGGCCTGCCCCTATGTTGCTGGTGTTGCTGCCCTGTGGGTTGGCAAGAACGGAGGCCGCAAGGCACATGGCAAGGAGTGGGCTCGCGCCCTGGGCCGCCGCATCATCAGCAGCGGCCAGCCAATCCCTTGGTACCATGCCAGCGTTGAGTATCCTGATTTCATCGCTCCAGTCGAGCAAGTTGGCACAGGTCTCATTGACGGCTGGAAGGTCCTCAACTACAACACGCAGCTTGACTTCAAGACCATCGGCCTCAACGACACACACTACTTCAGCCGCTACCACGACATCACTCTTACCAACAACGGCAAGGAGAACATTGACTATACCTTCAGCCACGCCCCCGCCGCCGGCGTTGAGACCTACACCTGCCCCGATAATGACTGCCGAGTCAAGACCTGGGCTGAGCTTGAGGCTATCAAGCTTGAGGTTGATGTCAGCCTTCCCAAGGGCTTCACGCTCAAGCCTGGCGAGAGCAAGAAGGTTTCGGTCAACTTCGAGAACCCCGACAAGAAGGGCTGGAATGCTGCCGCCCTGCCCGCGTACAGTGGTAACATCCGCATCAAGGGAAGCACTGGCGAGGACCTGTCCGTGCCATACTTCGGACTCGCTGCCAACCTCAAGTCCGTCGTGTCGCCAATCTTCCGCGCCGGCTACCCGACTGCTGTCGCCACGCCAGAGAACACCCCCATTGAGAAGCACTCGACCTTTACTTTCGACTACAGCGACGCTGTTCTTGACTTCCCACGCATTGTTGCCCGACTCAAGTGGGGATCCGCCCAGATTCGGTGGGATGTATGTTTCCCCCCTCTGCCCTATAACTATTCATGATAGGTACTAATACAAACCGCCTTTAGATCTTCGAGTCTGACTGGACTGAACGCAAGTGGTCATGGCCCCTGACACCCGGCAAGAACGGCTACATCGGTTCCGTGCACGGCATCGACAAGTCGACCGGATCTGTCGACTACCCCAACGTCACCGTCACCTTCCCTGTCCAATGGGTCAACCGTAACGCGGACACTAGCGATAACCAGGTTAACCACGAGTACTGGTGGCCAGAGGGCAAGCTCGGCGACGGCACCACGATCAAGCCGGGCAACTACACGTGAGTATCACCTGCCGATGCGAAAATCATGAGAATATCCGTACTGACACTCGAGATAGTATGCGTTTTGCTGCGCTCAACCCATTCGGTGTCCCCACCAATGGCGATAACTGGAGCGTGTTCAAGACACCTAAGATCCAGGTGGTTTAGACGGGTTTTGTACGAGTAACTTGATGTTTGGCTTCGCGTCCTTGGTGATTGAGAGGTCGGATATAATAAGAGTAGTATAATTACTTGTATCATTACACCTAATAAAGAAATAAGATTATATTAAAGCAGTGCCTTGTTCCTTAAAGGTATATTAAGCCGCCGTTTGAGGGCTGCCTGCAACGCGTTGCCCAAGGCCATGTAGCGTAGAGAGTGATCGTTTTACCAATCGAGCAAAGGTTTTTTCAGTGAGCGAATAGAGATCTTGGGTGTAGGCATGTAGGGATGGATTCCTGGAGAATCTCTGTAACCAGCTTTCTTCCAATGAACTGCTTAACCAAAATAAGGAAAAGATAACGCTTAAGTTCACTCTGTTCATGAATGCATGGTCGTTGAAAATTAAATAAAGATCTATAGTCTGACGAAGCTCTGGGTATAAATATTAATAATAAATGTCATGTCTGGCTGAGTTGGTCGGCGTGCTTTCCGGTAACGTGAACCCGCCGAATTCAAGTAGATGAGTATGTTGACCATCTCATTTTGACGTTCTCCCTCTCCTCCATTGTCGAATTGTGGAAGTCGTCTATGCCCTGTCTCAGCCTGATGAGCAGTAATTCAGCCTTCAACCTGGTGACTTGGTCCTTTGCCAATGCTTTTTCGATGCCCTTAAGTGAATAGCCCGGCAGGCCGAAGAATGCTGCCATCAAAGTTAGTTCCCATGCGAAAATTAATAGACACGAACTGCGATCAAAGGCTGGACTTACCGGCTCCTAGATTTGATAAAACTCCCTTGACCCCGTGGAACATGCCCTTCCCGAACCCTTTAGCCCCCTCGTTCCTGGCCCCGTTATAAGGCCTCACGACGATCCCGCTGAATGCATCCCAGATGCCCAGCACGAACTCGGTACCGGCCGTTTTGAACCCGCTCTTGACACCGGTAATCTCGTCCCGGCGGCGCACTTCCACGGGGCCGACCAGACTGTACGACGGGACGTTGTGGAAACCGTTGGCGACGTTGTAGAGGAACGCGACGGGAGCCTTGAGGCCGGCCTTGCCGATGTCAGCGGCGTACCGGCCCGTGGCGCGCGTGATGTAGTACACGTTCCCGTGGCGTCCCTGCTCCTGTAGTTTCCAGGACGCGAGCCGCCTCTCGTACGTGGACGGTGCTCGGGGGAGCCTGGCTGTGACGGTGTCCCCGACGCTGCGGAGCGACTTGGTCGCCAGCTTGAACGCTATCGTCTCCATCTCGACAGGGGTCAGCGGGGGCCTTTCCTTCCAGACGCTGGGGGTCCGGACGGCCGCGTCGTCGTCTGTGTTCTTGTCGCCGTCGTCGTTTACGGTGTCCGACCCCGTCCCGTGTTGGGAGTCCCCGCCGTCGCTGTCCGCCGCTCGTGAAGAGCGAGGCCGCGTTTTGAGACGCTGCGAGTAGTCCTTTGTCGCCGTGCCCACGGCCGTGAAGAACCCCGAGAAGGCAGCCGCCGCTCCGACGATGGGGTTCTCGGCGCCTTCGTCAACGTACCAGTGCTTATGGCGCAGCGGTCTGATGTGGTTGGGCTGGATCAGACCCTCGTGGACCAGGACGCACGAGGCGAACGCGCTGAGGTGGGTGCCGGTCGGCTTGTGCAGCCACACTGCCAACCTCTCTGGGCAGACGTCGCATCTGAAGTCGTCTGGGTTGAGCCGGCCGTGGAAATCAGCGGCGGTCTGGGCCGCGCCGTCCTCCTGCGCCACATCCTCCGCCATGACCTGCGCGGCCTCCAGGACCTGGGGCTCCAGCGCGAACAGGATGCTGCTGGCGAGGGTCTCGGCGGTCATTTTGTTGAAGGGGACGGGTGATGGCCCGGCGCCGGCTCGTGCCATCATCTGGCCCCAGAATGGCTGGTCGCCGAAGAAAGGGACGACAACGGTGGGCCGGCCTGCGGCGATTCCTGCTGCGGTTGTGCCGGCGCCGCCGTGGTGCACGACAGCAGAGACGTGGTTGAACAGCCAGTCGTGGGGGGCGTTGCCGATGAGGTAGATGTCGTCTGGCACTTCGAGCTTGCCGCCCACGCCTCCCCAGCCTTTGGAGACGATTGCCCGGACACCTGCGAGCTTGACGGCGTCGAAAACCAAGTTGGTGAGGGCTTGCGGATCTTCGACGACGATAGACCCGAAGCCGATGTAGATTGGGGTAGGTCCTTTCTCTAGAAATGCGGTTAGGTCGGCAGGAGGGGAGTAGGTGTGTGCGAGGCTGAGAAAGGAGAAACCGGTGATTGTGATGTGTGAGCCCCAGTCATCTGGCTTTGGTATTAGTGATGATGACCAGAGATATGAGAATGGTACGCGCATCCTGGGAAGAAGCTGATATCCCCACAGCGGGCTGATGGAGTCCAGGTGCAGTATCTTCATCCGAAATTTATTTATCAAGTCGCCGAGTCTATATCCAAGATTGTCAGTAAGTAGAGATTGATCGGTGGTTCAATTGAGATCCGTACCCTTCCCAAGTCAGCAGCTCTACCATCATAAAGGAGAGGTAGTTGGCCATCGACCTGTCGGCATCACCGTAGCTCATCGCAGCAAGCGGATGCGAGAACTTCTCGGTGGGCGACCACGGCATGGTGAAGACCATGTGCAGCGGAATGCCCAGTTTCTCGGCGCAGTGGATATGGGCCATGGACGGCGGGTTGGCGATGATGGCGTCGGCGATGAAGAGGTCTCCGGTGGCTCTCGTCCTGGCGGCAGTGACCCGCGGCCCCATGCCGTCACCGGATTCGATGCAGCTCCTCCACGCCCCGTTGATGATCTCCCACATCTCCTTGCGCCGCTGGCTGACGTCGCCGGCCTTGAGGCTCTGGCGGCTGGGCAGCAGCCCCGGGTTCTTGACCATGTAGGCCATGAGGGCCTCGGGGTCGCCGCCGATGCTGAAGAACTCGACGCCCTGGGACTCGACGAAGTCCTTGAAGACGGGGTGGGTGCAGATCCGCACGCGGTGGCTGTACGGCGGCCTGGAGAGCAGCTGGGCGATGGGGATGAAGGGCTGGACGTCGCCGCGGGACCCGACGATGTGCATGGCGATGTTGAGGCGCGGGTTGCACGTCAGGTCCTCGTCCAGGGGCACGGCGAAGCTGCTCTGCCTGCGCGGCCGGGGACGTTCGGGCTCGCTGATGGAGTGCTGGAAGTGCCTCGCCCACGCCGCGAGGGCCTGGGGATTGTCGTGGAACTGGACATTGACGCGGCCCTCGTCGTCAACATTGCCGGACGGGCACCTCTTCACGGTCGCGTCCTCGAAGGCGATGTGGCCGGGGCCTTGGGACTTCGTGCGCGCCAGATTGAGCGCCATCCTTGGTGCGTTGTCGTGCGGCTCAGGCGATGGAAACGTCACAGCAGTAGGTGTGGTATGGTATCATGATGATTTTGTTTTGTCAATTGAGCAGAGCAATGCCTTCCAATCGCCCCGTGATATCATACAGGTTTGTCTGTTGTGATGTCCGTGACAGAGTTTAATACCGCGTCTTCCGGCCAGGCTGGTCAAGTGATTTGGCTAGTCGCGGCCTAGTCTGTTGATGATTTTCAAGTGCTAATTTTGCCCAGTACATTTCACTCGCGGCATGAGAAGTGCCGGAAAAGCTTTGCTGTGCCGAGGCAGGAAATAAACAGAGTCATTCAGACCCGATTTTCGGTGGATTGGGAGCTTCAATGCACCGGCCGCTTTCATGCTCAATCGCCGCAGCCGACCAGCACCGATCGGTCGGTCGCGGGTTTCTCAATCCCTCCGCCAGTACAGATGCCTGCCTAATTACTAGAGGAGACTGTAGGAGCAGCCGCCATCGCCGGTGCTTTGGCGACACTCAATCTGGTGGCGACAAGATACAAGATGACCTCCACTCCCGCCGCCACTCCCGCTTGACTCTCCTCTCCAGACCGAGGCGGCTTTCTTGTTCTCATCAATCGCTTAACACGCGATGGTCCCTATGGTAGCCGCAAGCGGTGCGAGACATGCCGCTGTTGCTCGAATACCGTCGCGCCACAGGTTTCAGAGCCTGTGACTGACCGGCGTGGGTCCCAGACGGTGGAGGCCTCGCGAGCTGCTGGAAAACAGGCATTGGATGATCATCGCCTCATTTCTTTGGGCGAACCGCTCGCTGAGAATGCTTTCATAATTTTGAAAACATTGTGCTACAGCGATCCACAATTTTCGAGAAATGATCAGTGTTATTATATAAGCAGTGAGAAATGATTTTTAAGAAGTGATTAATGTTGTATTATTCGGTGGTCGATCAAACTGTGTGAAATGTATTTGGACGATGTTGATATCTTTATTCTCATTTGATATGAAAAGACTGAGTTCCTAAGGTGGGATGACGTAGAGTTTCTAACTTCCGTCCTTTTTGAATTCACATGCAAGCCTACACATTTCACCAACGTTCATGTGATCCATGCACAACCCTGCGACTCGATAAACATCTCATAAAATTCTTCTCTAATAAGACAGGTTCCGTCTGCCTTTTCCCCTAGAATACCATTAAATAGGAGCCATCCGAGAGTGTGCCGCAACTTCCCATACCTAGATGACAATGGTTTTTTAGAGGCTGTAGGGTAGGTCGCTTTTCATGGACATCAAGCTTGAGCTGAATCATGGTTGGTCCATCCTGGTCCACCCAATCACAAACCCAGTATTAAATCAGATGCCTCAGTGTGATATTGAGGACCAATTGCTATCTCTCTTGCAACCTTGTTTCCCATGATGAACGATAGCTTTATCTGGGCCAGTGGCTTGGGTGTGGCTTTGCTGAAGACTGTGGAGGCTGCCATCAGCGCTAAGCCCCCAGGCAGACACGCTGGCGGTCAGCATCGATATTTGAGCAACTCCATGGCGAGAGACCTGCGAGCTTACTCATTGGAAACTGCAGGCTGAAAGCTTAGCTGTCGCTCGCTGACAGGGCGAAACCAGGCAGCTTTCGTGCTACTCCCGCAAGCAAACCAGAGATCCAGCGAGAGAAACAGTGACCCTCCTCGTTCGCATTCTTGCAGGTGTATTTTTTTCTCAGATTGGATTTTTCTTGCATCATGTCCACGGACGAGCGGTCGTGGGATGACGACGTCGTCGTCGACCAGACCGACTTGGACGACTTCAATGAACTCGGCATTTTACCTGTCTCGCCAGAAACAGAGGCTGAGATCCGCAGCTGGCTCAAGCCAACCAAGTACAACGCCGAGAATGGCGAGTTCAGAAAACACCAGAGGTCACATCTCGCGGGCACAGGCGACTGGATTCGCCAGACCGCCTCGTACACAGAGTGGCACGATAGCGATGGCCAGGGAATGCTTTGGATAAAGGGAATCCCCGGTTCGGGCAAATCCGTGGTTGCCGCCAGCCTCATTGAGCGGCTATCTCAGGAAGAACAAGTTCCGACCCTGTTCTTCTTCTTTCGCCAGATTATCGATGCCAATCACGCCCCGGTTGCTCTACTGCGAGACTGGCTGGACCAGGTCTTGAGTTACTCTCCTCCCCTCCAGACTCGATTGAAGAAGGAATACATTGATAAGAATCGCGGGATTGACGATATGTCTATGAACGATATGTGGGGGGAGTTGAAACTGGCCTTGGGCACCTTACCCAAGGTCTTCTGCGTGGTTGACGCCCTAGACGAGATGGACAAGGGGAACGACGAGTTTCTCAAGGCTCTTGCAGATCTGGGTAGATGGCGGCCCTCAAATGTCAAGATCATCGTTACAAGTCGCCCTGTGCCTGCAGTGGAGAGACCCCTCCAGCAGATTCCAATGCTTCATATTCGCCTGGACGAAGGCCACGTGGATGTAGACATCGCAACGTACGTGGACTATTGTCTCAAAAACTCGTCTATTCCGGAGAATCACCGTGGCGAGATCAAGAAGGCAGTCCCCGGGAGGGCAAACGGATTGTTTCTTTACGCCAAGCTAGCGATGGATGCCTTTAGAGAGAAGGGAGCAGACGTGGCGCAGGTCCTGGAAAGGCTTCCTCTTGATCTCAACGTCATGTATACCAACTTATTGCGCGAACATGGCAAGAACTCCGGAGTTCCCAGTCAACTACAGCTCCTGATTCTGTGCTGGGTTACACATGCCTCTCGCCCACTTCGGCTCCTCGAGATGGCAGAACTGATCAACGTGACGCAACAATCCGAATTCACCGGCGATTTCAAAGGTCTCAAGAGCCTTGTGCGTGCGGCATGTGGTCCGCTTCTGGAGATTTTGCCTGACGAGACCGTGTGTGTTATCCATCACTCGTTGACCGAGTTTCTGAACGGTTCGACGCGCCAGCCCGGGACGGTACCAACAGAGCAAGTTGAAGAAGGAGAACACTTTCCTGTTCTCCGCGCAGGGTCCACTCATACTCAGCTTGCGCGAGTGTGTATCGACTATTTGCTGCGTTCAAAATGCCTGGAAGCTGTCAAGTTAGATCTGGTGAAAGACGACCCGCTTAGCAACAACGGTCGTTACGGCAAAGACGAGTCGCCACTAGTCAACCATGAAATTCGCTCAGAGTATCCATTCCTAGCCTATTGTTTGGATAATTGGCATGTGCATTGGAGAAAAGCCGAAAAAGACCTCGTGATCCCAGAAGATCTCCTTTCTGCAGTCGACCATCTTCTTTCAGACAGAAACGGCTCTGCATTGCGAACGCTGACGGACCCGAAGACGAAGGACCAATCATCGCTGCACTTTGCGGCTCGTTTCGGGCTCGCGCAGTATGTCTCAAGACTGCTAGAGAAGGACAGCATTGGCATAGACTCCGTGGATATGAGAGGGGATACAGCCATGCTCTATGCCTCCAAGGCTGGACATGCCAGTGTTGTCAAGGTGCTGCTGGCCCATGGCGCTAATGCTGATAAGCCCTCTGAGTATGATGGCCTCAAGCCGCTCCATGGCGCGGCAAAAAATAACCACGGGGAGGTTGTGAATATACTTCTCGCTTCTGGCGTGAGCCTCCTGACAAAGAAAACCAAGGAAGATAATGATTTTTATGGAGGAGGAGATGCTGGCACTGTGGGTGTGACACCACTTGAGTACGCCGCCAAAGGAGGACAAGATGATGCTATTAGGGCCTTTCTACCTTATATCAAGGATACCGAAACGGCCAGCAGTGCACTTGCATGGGCGGCTTATGGGGGCCACCCTGCCTGTGTCAGGAGGATATTGTCCCATGAGCTAGTCAATGTGAATGCCCGTGTCCGTGGCGATACTCCGCTCTTCATAGCTGGTGAGAGAGGGGATGTTCACAGCATGATCTTGCTGCTTCAGGCTGGCGCCAATCCATCAATTCGGTCTCGGGGAAGATACAGCAGCTTATGGTATGACGAAGACGAAGAAAACGAGGAACCGGATCCCGTGACAGGTCTCACTCCATTGCATGCTCTGTGCGGCGTGATGGACGAGATTAGACGCAGCAGGCGGAAACCCATCTTTCAACCAGACCAAGTGCGGCAACTGGTGACATTGATGGTTGAATCTGGGGCAGACTTGAACGCAAGAACATGGAGTGGATGGGCCGCAGTCATCGGAGCGACGAGGAAGTTTCCAGAGCTGGTACGTCCGCTGCTCGAGGCCGGGGCCGACGTAGCCATCACCAACCGTGCTGGCGAGAACGCACTGCATGGGTGTGGAGACCCAGACATGGCGCAAATGCTTGTCGAGCTTGGAAAGGCCGACATAAATCTAGTCTCAACCGATGAAGGAATGACGCCCTTTCTCCAGGCTGTTAACAAAGACGATGGGGCCTCGGCCGCGCTCATCAGGAAGCTGGCCGAGTTGGGAGCCGACGTCAAAGCCACGGACTATTATGGCCGTGGCGCTCTTCACCTTTTATTCAGCAGGTTCGAATTCAAGCTCCAAAATCCAGAGGAGGAGAGATTTGAGATCGTCAAGGCTCTGTTGGACGTTGGCGTTCCTGTGGATTTGCAGGACAACCACGGACATGTAGCTCTGCATGACCTCATGCACTCATTTCACTCACATCGGAAATCTTGGGATGACAAATATGACCGGCTAATCCGAGCTATGCTCGCTGCGGGAGCCGACCTCAATAAACAAGATTATCAAGGCTTGACGCCGCTTACCGTCCTGATGCAGAACGCGAAGGGGGAAGAAACCGTCCAAGCAGTGCGCCAATTCGTTGCGCTTGGTGCCGATCCGCTCATCTACGATTGCCACGGGCGGAATCTCTTGCACTACTGCTCCCCGAAAGAAGAGGAGTTGATGGCTTGTTTGATCGAGATGGGTTGCAGCCCGGACAACTGCGATGACGACGGAAACCCGTTGAAATGGGAGACTCACCATGTCAACAAGCAGGGCCGAACACATCTTCACCTCCTGGCGTCCGGTGGCAGATGGGAGTTTTCAAGTAGTTATTCCGCATCAGTTTCGCTCTCGGAATATCCAAACGTCGACTGTGAAGACAAAGACGGCATCAGGCCCCTTCATCTGGTATGCAGGAAGGACGAAGAGGAGGTCATGGCTCTCCTCAGAGCCGGCGCCAGCCCAACCAAGCCCACCAAAGAGGGCGTCACGCCAATTCATATCGCCGCACGATTCAGGAAGCCAAATATCATCGGCTTGCTACTCGAGGTAATCGAGAAACAAAGTGGGAAGGAGGCTGTTACTCGCCACCTCAACTCATCATGGCGGCCTGGGAAAGCAAGGCTGTCTGACGGGCTTCCTCCAGCGCTCCATTTTGCTTGCTGTTCCGGCCTGCCGGAATCGGTCGCGCTGCTCCTGGAGGCGGGCGCTGATCCTAACTTGTATACTGGTCGCTTCCGCACTCCTCTCTACTACTGCACGAAATACGAGGAAGAAGAGGAGCTATGGAAAGAAGCGAGGACAGCCAGCTCACCATCCAGAAACCCTCGCGACGTGCCGTTCCGCGATCCATTTGGAATTGCGTTGAATGACAAGGCTCGGATTAAATATCGAGATGAGAAGCCAGTCTCCAACCTTGAGGAGGTGCTTGATCTGCTGGTTTCGCATGGCGTGAAGATGGAAACGGGCGCCGATCCGTTCTCCGGCCTGGACGGGGCGATCATTGCCAGCGAAGGGCACGACTACACCATAGAGTGTTTGTTTAAGTTGAAACAGCGTCTGGAAGCAGGAACTGGAAAATCAGACTTTGGCGGCGAAGATGCCGTGACACTACCGCCGGTAGAGGAGTATGTGGAAAGCTTGATGAAGGGGTCAAGATTCTCAAAACTGTCTCTAGCATATGGCTCGATGTCGTCCATCTACAGGCGTTCAGCTACTAGAAAAGCGTTCCTTTTCGCGGAAAAGGAGAGATACGAGTCGGATGATGTTCTGCAACTGATTGAGGATCATCAGTGGCACCTGCTCCGACACATGGCCAGGCACGATCCCGGCTTCTTCGGGCACAACGTATATGGGAAGTCTCACTTCACGGAGCTTATAGGCTCAGGGCTTTACAAGCTAGTTGGTCAGATCATCAAGAATGATAGCTTCGTCGAGATGGAGGAAAGCCAAAATCAGATGGTGCAGGGTTTGCTCGCTGGGAAAGGAGGGCGCGGCCAGAAATATGTTGCTCCAGCATGCCTGCTAAGAGCTTGCGAACGACCGTTACCGAATATGCCAATGCTCCGGCTGCTGGTTGAAGAGATGGGCGCCAATATTAACGCCCAGCATGCCGTGTTCGCAGGCAACGGCGAGAACCGCTCCTGGAAGAAAGGATCCAGCGCGCTCCATTACCTGGCACGTGGTTTGAATTGGTGGCATTATGCTCAGGGCTTGAAGTATCTCATTGAGCGTGAGGCTGACCTCGAACTAAGAGACGCGCAAGGGAGAACCCCTCTACACCGTGCACTGGCAAATAGAAGGACAACAGAGCCTGCTCGGATCCTGGTTGAAGCTGGCGCGGATGTCAACGCAGTGAATGACTTAGGCAAAACCTGTGTTGCATACGCTGGCAACAACCCTGAAGCGATCAAGCTTCTCTTGAGTCACGGTGCGGTAGTGAAAGTGGCTGACCTATTTCAGGCTACTTGGGACCCTAACAAGAAGGGAAAAATCAACGCTGAGGCTCTCGATATCCTTTGTGCGGCAGTAGACCCCGACGCTCGGCTGTCTAAGGTGGAACTGGAGTCGTTGACACTGCCTTGGAGCAGCCTGGAGTATCTGGTAGACGACGATCAGATCTACCCCCTATACCTGGCTACCTCCCGCAACCCCGCCGATACTCAAGCACGATACTCCAATATTGACCGGCAGGGCATTGAGGAGCGTTTCTTGCCTATTATCGAGGGCCTTGTTAGAAACGGCGCTGATCCGTTTGTGAGGTACCAGAAACGCCGAAAAGATGATTTGAAGGCGGAAAACCCATCGACAACGGAAGTAACACTTTTGCACGATATATTGGAGGAGGGAGCATTGACGGAGCCCATTCTCCTTACGCCAAGTCTCCTTCTCGAGCACCGTGATGCAAAGGGGCGCACTCTATTGTTAGCAGCCTGTCGAAGTCAGATAGGACCAGACACCAGCATGGACGCAATAAACCCAAAATATCAATACAAAAGGTGGCGGATCGCTGCAGACCTGTTCACCAAAAAGCCCTCAATCGTCAAGTTTCTCGTCGATAAGGGTGCTTGTGTTACGCAGACCGACAACAATGGGATGAATGCGCTTCACCACATTCTTGAAGCCAGATCTGAGGGCGGCCATGATACCTTGAAGCTCTTGCTATCTGTAGCGCCTGAGCTAGCCCGGCAGGTCGATGCTTTCGGTGCTTCGCCCCTGCAGTATGCGTTGCGGAGGAGCACGTCTCACCAGGCCCCGGATACGCGATCGATTCGGATGCTCCTTGACGCAAGAGCTGATCCTTCTTTATCAGACCCAACCGGAAACACGGCGTTGCATCATCTGGGGATGTGGCTGGCAGACAAAGGGGAAACAGACGATATGGCTGAGCAGCCTTGCGAGTTGTTCAAGCGTCTCGTCGCGTGCGGCTTGACCGCCAATAAACGTAATAACAAAGGAGAGACACCCTTGTTTTTATTCATGCTATCTCAAGGTGTGGACCGAGAGTCTGCGAAAAACAATGGATATGTTGAGCGACAGAGCCAAGCAATCCGTACGCTCGTTGATGCTGGGAGTGATCTATCCACTACGAACAACGCAGGGGACACCCTGCTTCATGCCGTTGCAGCCAGCAGCAGGAAACTACAGAATGGAGAGACAGGAGAGCTTATGGTTACACGCTTCAAATGGCTGCTTGAGCAAGGATTGGATCCGACAATAGAGAATGTCAGGCATCAGACTTGCCTGGACGTTGCAGCGGCCAACGAAAACGACCTGATCTTGAAGCTCTTTGAAAGGAAGCCATGATTTGATATTCCAAATTGAGGCAATGGTTAGTTTCAAGTTATAACAGTACACGTGAGTATACATAAGGTTGAGACTTGGCCAATAGTTGAATAAATAGGCCGCTTGCCAAGAAAGCGAACTATCTCTTATTTTTAGAGCCCAGAAAGCATCCTTGGTCAAGTAGATTGGTTGGAATATGATTATGATTTCTGGTGGATGAATGGCCCTCTTCAATTGCTACTTAGATCTAGTGAGAATGCCGTGCTGCAGACTTGTATGCTATGGCATAGCGTGGAGTAGAAAAGGTAATGGTGCTGCCACGATGAATGAAGAAAGTATCCCCCGGTTGCAGCTTGGCCTCATTTCCATTCTCATCCTTGATGTGAAGCTCGCCTTAGGCAATTCTTGTCAGCAGAATTCGACTAGAGTAGCCGTATGTCTGGAAGCTTATATTTGAACACGTACCTTTGATAACAACTCCGGTTTCGTCGTAATCATACTTTGGGACTGGGTCGTTGTGCTCAAGATAATCGAGGAAGAACATGGAACCAGTTAGGGGGTTGGCCGCGCCCGGGGTTGACGAGGTGAAAACATCGCCTTTTTGGGAGATGGTCAGCATGTGTATCAATCAGGGACCGTGATAAATCGCTGAATAGGAAGGCAATGGCTTGGACTCACCAAAATAGACATTGGCTGGACCTGGGTACAGCTTGGGGACCCTGTGAAAGTGGGCTTCGCTCTTCCACTCAAAGACCATGATTGCTTGGGTGTGGTGTGAATGTGATTTCTCGGGCTAATGATCGCTATGGGATCTCTTGTTGAAATTTTGAGTAATCATTGAGTTTTGGGGCTACTTTATGGTTTGATCGAGTGGGATACCGAAGGCGAGACTCTTCCTGGGGCTTCCTAAGTTGGATCCAATCCACCAATAGGGTAATTTTCCTGCCTCGCATTAGTAGAATTCAACGGAATATCCATCTCTCATGACGAGAGAAGTGGCCGAGAGCAATTGACTACAGAATTTATTTGGCTCATTTTGCACATAGATAGTGAAGAGAGTTTGAAGACCAGAGTCAGGCTTGAGTATTAGGCACATGATAGAAGCAGAATGCGTCGTTCGTACAACACCATGAAGGCTGCGCCGCTGCGCACAGATCAAACCTCAACAGATCATGAAAGCCCTGGAATTACCCAAGGCCAGAATGAGTCCCCGGGCGTCGAATATCCTGATGGGGGAACAAAGGCTTGGACGGCAGTATTCGGCTGTTTCTGTGCATTCTTTGGCGCATTGTCCATGATGAACTCCATTGGCGTCTATCAAAATTGGCTATCGACCCATCAGCTTGAAGGATACAGCTCGGGAAGTATCGGATGGATATTCGGCCTCTACAACTTCTTGAGCTTCTTCACAGGAATCCTCATCGGTCCTCTTTTCGATACCAAGGGCCCAAAGCCGCTCTCAATCAGTGGATCTGTCCTGCTCCTGTTGACCTATGTCCTTCTGGGGTGGTGCACCAAGTACTGGCATTTCATGTTATGCTTTGGTGTTCTGGGGAGCTTTTCGACCTGCCTCCTCTTTACCGCAGCCATGGGGACTGTGCAGCACTGGTTCTTGAAGCGGCGCGGGCTGGCAACAGGACTTGCCATCTGCGGCGGAAGCGTCGGTGGCATCACGACACCGTTGGTTTTGAGCGCCTTGCTGCCCAAAATCGGGTTCACATGGGCCATGAGAGCCTTGGCGCTTCTCATGGTGCCTTTTGTAATTTGCGCCATTCTTCTCATGCGCGGGAGACACCAAGACATTTCCACCATGCCGAAGAGCATCTTACCCGATATCACTGTTCTGTGGGAGCCGAGGAAAGCGGTACTCACCGTCGGTGCCTTGTTCATCGAGCTCGGGCTTTTTATTCCGATGACTTATATTGCCTCGTTCGCTACCAGCCATGACATGTCATCAGAGGCCGCTTATCGGACAGTCACCCTTATGAATGTCGGCTCGCTGATCGGAAGATGGCTGCCAGGATGGTTAGGTGACAAGCTTGGGCGGTTCAATATGCTTAACATCGCCCTGGCACTCTGTATTGTGTCAATATTTGGCATTTGGCTGCCACCAACGGGGGCATCGCCTGCTGGGCTGACTGCCTTTGCAGTTATTTTTGGAGTTGGTAGCGGAAGTGGGATCAGCCTCCTTCCGGTCTGCATTGGACAACTCTGCGAGACTGAGAATTATGGAAAGACGTTCACAGCGGTCTACAGTGTTGGAAGTATCGGGTACGTATCTCATTCTATGCATAATTTACTGAAACTAGAAGTACTTATATCTAATTGCTCTTAGGTCTTTGATCGGAGTGCCACTTGGCGGGCAGATTTTGGAGGCGGCCAAGGGCGACTACATGGGGTTAATCATCTTTTCAGGTGCCGCGTATGTGGTCGCATTTGGAAGTCTCACTGTAGTGAGGATCATGAGTGCAGGGGCAAAGGGTTCTACCAAGTTCTAGCTTCTTTAGAGTTCTCAAAACTAGATTCACATGAAGATGAGATAGCTCCGAGTTACTATAGGTATAGACCTTTCATTGTGTTGAGATGTCGGGTCTGGCATCTTCTATTGCTGTTTTTTTACGTTATACTCAAACTCCCACCAGGATAGGTATAGACCTTCTCCACTCGTGTTTTCGGAAACAAGGAGATAATTTCCCCCCAGCCGAAAGGCAAGTGACGAGAGGCAGGGTGTGTCATGAGGGTTACAGTGCCAAGAGGCGCTTGAAAGACGGCTTTAGAAAAGAAACTAATAGCCCTGGAAATTGCGTTGGCATTATTATGAATTGATAGACATAAGAACATAAGAACAGTTCAAGAGAGCAGAGCAAAGTAGCAAGAGCCACAACCGCTTCATTTGTTATATACCTTCTGTTTGTGAAATGAGATACAATTTCTGATAGAATAATACACTCCGAATGGCAGCCGGGTGAATCCAAGATGGAAAGTGAGTAATGAAACAAACTGCTTGATTCCACCCATGAACACCACTTGCATAGCCTATACCACAGCCATCTCTGCTGGGAACGTATGAGATAACTTGGCAATGTGACTATTGGATCGAAACAGTCACAGCCATCGACCAACGCCTTACCCCGCAGCTAGCCCCTTGTTTGAACTTTGACCCAGCGCCACGGACGGTGGAGGTGACACGGAAAAATAATCTCTTCGTCAATTGGTATCAACGCGAGTCCAAAAGCGGTTGCTAGCTTATCTGAGGCTTGAATCTGTCCCCGTCTTAGATATGGGGGTCTCCACACACACCTTATGAAGATAACGAGAAGCTGGATTTGCCTCTTCCATGATCGGTCTGGACGGCCAGCTCCTTTAGAAACAGGCACACTACGTCTATCTGCACGGGTCACGCGGCTATCGATGTAGATTGGCTGGGCGGATGAACCCTGTTGATGCTTTGATTGTGCGGCAATGGGATATTTTTCCTGAGTTTCCAAATCCAACATAAAGGGAAACAGCCCATCCTACCTTACAACACCCCCTGGGCATATCCTGGCCAACCCTCACAGAGATCTTTTGGCGTACACAGAAAATTATCAACATTGCTGCCATCATGGATGAGTTGGAAAAGAAGCATGTAGCAAAGGACCGAGAGTTGTCTGTAACAGGGGACGGCCAGCCTGAGCAGATCAAGAAGCGGTTTAATTTCTGGACTGCAGTCGGCATTGCCGTTTGTACGTCCGGCGCAGTGAGTATTCTTACACTGAATATCTTGACATTTGTCTTACTCTAACATTAACGCCAAATAGTGGGAAGGATGGACCGCTTCCATTGCCCAGGGCTTGACGGGAGGTGGCCCGGTAGGCCTCTTCTGGGGATGGATTTTTGTATCAATTGGCATCGTCTGCATGTCTCTTGCTCTTGCTGAGTTTGTTAGGTAAGAGATATCGACCCTTGTGACTCATAGGGAACGACATTTGGCTTATGCATATCCAGCATGTGGCCTTCTTCCGGCGGCCAATACGTATGGGCCGCAAATCTAGCGCCACCCGCCTACTCAAGAGTATTTGTATGTCAATCCTCCCGGTTCCTAGACGAGCTTATGTGTGTCAGCTAACACTCTTGGAGAGCTGGTTCACTGCCTGGGCTGGCTTGGCGGGCTTGTGGATAGGAACTCTGTCCTGTGCAATGGGAGTTGCTGTTCAAATACAAAGTTATGCAGTCGTTTCTGCGGGCTATGAGCCATTGACATGGCATACATTTATGGTAAGATACTTATCTTAACCAGACATCAAAATATTCTAACTGGAATACTAGATTTGCGCTGCTTGTTGCTTCGTCTGGATTCTTATCAACGTGTTTGCCGTCAACGCATTGCATCATTTGAATACTTGGTGTGAGTAACCTTCTTTTGGAGTTTTGGAACCTCGATCTCCCTAAATACCTTTCTCGCTGCCTTGGCTTACGTTTTTAAAGTATTGGTTTGGCACGTTGGTGGATATATTATTGTTATCGCGGTCCTTGCAGCCTGCACACCAGAAAAACATGACGCCCAATTTGTTTTCACAAATTTCCAAAACCTCACTGGTTGGGACAACGACTTCGTATCTTGGTCTGTTAGTTTGCTTGCAGCTCTGTATGCATTCTTCTCCCTAGATTCCACTAGCCATTTCAGTGAGGAGATTGAGAGGGCAAATGTCATGGTCCCCCGAGCAAGTAAGTCTACCTCGGCTGATATTATTTTAATGTATCATGGTCTGACCTCCAGCAGTGGCACTTCAAGCCTTCAGCAGCGCTATTATGACATTGCCATTCATTATCACAGTCCTATTCTGCATTGGAGACATTGATGCTGTCCTTGCGTCTCCCATCGGACTTATGAGTCCTTTCACGCAGATTCTGATCAACAGTACCAACAACATTCCAGCAGGTATCATCCTGAACATGATCGGTACTACAGTTGCTTGGTTAGCCGGTTGTGATCTCACAGGCGCAACCTCCAGAGCGATCTGGTCTATGGCCCGTGACAAGGCAATCCCCGGATATTTCGCTCATCTCCACCCGACATTCAATGTCCCCATCCGGGCCATGCTAGCTCCTATTGTTCCATCCTTACTCGTCTACATGATCTACATTTGGAACACCACGGCATTTTACGGCATAATGGCGGGTGTACTGGTGGCCTTCCAGCTGTCATATGTTTTACCTATTGGCCTATACATCTTCTACTGGGCCTGGAAAAAGGATACCGTTAAAGGCCCCTTTGATTTGGGCAAGGCCTCTTTCCCTTGCCACGTCTTGGCGTTCTTTTTTGGGTGTTTCATGTTTCTTTTCATGTCATTCCCCGTCATGCAGCCAGTCACAGCACAAAATATGTAAGTGCCAGTCCTCACTTTTGTCCTTCTTACTTTCACTAACTAGATTCCAGGAACTATGCTTCTGTCTTGGTTGGTGCAGTCCTCGTTATATCTTTGATTTCTTGGTTTTTTTACGGACGCAAGCACTATCAAGGGCCGATGGCAATTGTTGGTATTGAGGGCCAGGTTGACCAAAGTAGCCAACTTGACCCAAGTGGCTCTGAACCTTGAAATGGGGGAACCATACCAGAGAGAGACTGAGCGATGAGTGAAGCTTTGAGGAGCCGCAACTAGCTAATTTTTGTACAATTTTTCACTTAACCCCTGGAAATAAGATTCGATAGATACGCGATCGAAGTGCCATTCAAAACCCTATTTAATATGTTATCTTCCGCAATGTCTAACATCCCATGGCGGTGACTTTCTTAAAAGCAGAGAATAAGATAGAAGAGCCTGCATATCTTGTAGACCAAACTACATTCACTGTATGAACACACGGAATTACAATCCGTGCCGTTGGGAAATTAATTTCATTTAGATTGGGTCGACTGGCTTATATGAACATCCTTTCTCTTAGCACACTACTATTTATGCGTGTTGTGTTCATCTCCTGATTGTCACTGCTATAGATTGTCCTCAACGAACACCTGAAGGACTTATATGGCATTTGAGAAGTACACCATCATCGCGCCTTGATGTAAAGTCTTTGCAACTTTCTTCAGATCCCTATGAGCACTGCACTCGTTGTCGTAGAATTTCATATCCTCCTCCGATTCGAATACCGACAGTGCGGCAAGCGTGTAGCCTTGATTCCTCGCGTCGTCATAGGTGGGACCCACGGTCGCCGAAACAATGTATGGTTTGCCGTTCTTCAATGCTTTTGTTGGCATATCCCGGTAGATATAAATCAGCCGTTGTTGATCCTCCTTGGAGGGGATCTTGAAAAGTGTAACTCGGTGGATTCTTGATGAAGACATTCTAGAAAGGGGTAAATTGAACGAAGCAGGACTGTTTGAATCGAAGAACGAATGGTCTGGGATACGTTTCTTTTGGTATGATCATGGAAGTCGGCTAAATCTAGAGCTTAATGTAGCAACGGAGAGTTTCCCGAATAATCCTATCGGGCTTCATGAGTGGGATGTGCCATCGACAAGGGAACATGGATCCAATCAAAAAATGATCCCGCCCCCACACCACCTAATCGCCACTTCATTTGGGTCTACAAGCGGAAAATCCTTGCACAGCATATCTCTGGCTAGGAAGGCTTTCTGATCGTCGCTGCCATAAGAAGCTCGCCATATTTTATAACAACTCAACGCTAGTCGTCGATCTACACAAAGGCGAATGTTGCCTGTTCACTAACTTCTTCTTAATCTTCTATCAGACCAGATTCTAGGAGTCACATCATTTGCAATGTCTGTCGTCGCTGTTGCAGGAGGTCTCGGTGACATGGGACGTCTCATTACGAGCGCCCTTGTGGGAACAGGGAAGTATGAAGTCTACGTGATATCCCGCCGGGTATGTAGATCCTGACATTTGGCAGTTCAATCCTGGAGATGCCTCAAACTAGCATCCCTTGCTAACTCACATGTTCAGGTTCCCAACAAAGTTGAATCCTTGAAATCCCCCATAACTGGGGCACAATATTCCCCAATTATACAATCCGACTATTCGTCCGAGGCAGAGCTTGCGAAGATCCTCGAAGAACATAAAGTGCACACGGTTATTTGCACATTTGCACTCGATTTCCAGGCAGCTAGCGATTCGCAAGTCACACTTATTCGGGCCTCCGAACGTGCTTCGACAGTTAAAAGATTCATGCCATCCGAATTCAACGTCGACTACGATCTACCAGATAGTGTCTTGCCGTATCCCGATAAGCGATTTCATATCATTGGGAGACGGGAGCTTGAGAAGACCCAACTGGAATTCACTTATATCTACCCGGGCATGTTCATGGACTATTTTGCCATGCCAAACCTAGAAACACACCTACGTGAGCTCTGTATCGTAATCGACTCTACGCACCGAGTTGCTTACGTTCCGGGCGATGGAGAGGCGAAGATGGCAATGACCTACACCAAAGATGTGGCACGGTACACGGCTCTTGCACTCGAGATGCACACATGGCCTCGTGTCCTGACGACAACTGCTAGTACGCTAACAATCAACCAGCTGGTGGCCCTGGTTGAAAAGAATATTGGGCAAAAAATCAAGGTCACTTATGAATCGGTTGAGACGCTCGCTAAGCACGAGAACATGGTGCTTCCGAGGAATATTCCCCTTGCAGAGCACTTTCCTGAAGGGCTCGAGCAGGTCAAAGCCCTGGCAGCAGACTTGGGAGCATCAATTGCACTCGGGGCTTATGACTTTGACGCTCTCAAAGATGCAACCAATCTGGTAGATGAGTTCAGGGATAAGACAGAGCCGCCGATGACCGTAGAAAGGTTACTGGAGCAGGCATATCAAGGAAAGAAATGAAATAGATGCCAAGTATCTTTAGTATTGGAATATTGCATATTATGCGATTTATTACATGAAATGGAGCTGCTCACACCAATATTTGCGACTGTCCTATCCTCTGCATCGTGTCTTGCCACCGTTCTGGATCTGCAAAGCCAGAACTTACCAGGTCCCGCCTATTCCATACTTCATTGAGAATGCTCTGTCCATTCTTAGTGTTGTATATGCCGAGAAGATGCATCCCTGCCCACCGTGAGTTGATGTATTCCCGCTGCTCCTCCAGGTCCAACTCAGCACCCAGCACCACCAGGCACCAGCCAAGGTTCGCCCCAGGCCCGAGAGCATCTGGCACGCGGGTGAGCAGGGTCAAGGCAGTCTCCAGTGATTCCTGCGCCTCGGGCGATAGCGGCTCCATCGGGCCATGGGAAATGCGATAAACGTAGATATGGGACGCGTGTCGGAAGATCTCGGCCGTCGCCGTAGCACGACGACGCAGCTCGTCCCTTTCCATCCCGACAGTCGTGGAGAACTCATGCGAGGCATCTGTGCAAGCGAGTCCCACCTTGATCTGAGAATCCTCCGGTAACTGGGTCGATCGAATGCGTTTTTGCAAGTCATCTGCTTGGTAGCGTATGTCGTCCTCGTCGACTAGATCTTGCTTCGATGCCACGTACAACCGGGAGGCTGCTGACTATCAAGGTATGTTAGCTGGGGAAATGACAGAGAGAGACAGATTGCTTCCTCGTACCATCAGCTTTGGTAGCTGCGATGAGCAACCAAAGAGAGAATCAACGGTGTAGCCTTCATTGGCGACGATGAGTTCCACGGCGTTTCCGAATGTCGCGTTGATCAGGCCGCCCCAGACCTCGCCAGTCCGCAGGGCGATTTCCTCCGTCGCAAAGCCCAGCATGGCCGCCAGGGGGATGATGGCGATGAAGTTGACCACGAAGACGGCGACCCGGCTGATTGAGGGGACATAGTTGAGCGCGATGCCGACAGGCGCTGCCAGCAGGAGGATGTTGATCCACGAGCTGAGCAGCGTGCGCTGGATCTGGTTGGCGGCCGTGAAGGGCTGGTGCCTTCCTAGTGATTTGCTCCGGGCATCCTCGTCCTCCCGTTTCTCTCCAGACTCACCCAAGGCGCCATCGCGGGAAAAGTTGCGGCTCCAGTTGATCTGACGAAAGACATTCCATGACTGCTCAGTGCTTGTCCGGCTGAGAGAGTGGGCCCGTCGCTTGAGCTTGAATGAATTGAATTTCATGACGGTGCTCGAGTGTGCCTGGTTTGGAAGCAGTAATCAACGGTGAGATGTACAAAAGACGACGCGAGAGAGTCAATAAGAAGATGAGAGCTTGGATGGAAGGTCTGCTGAAAAAGGGGCCAAGACGCGGTGGTGATCAACTCGTTTAATGCTGCCATCTCCTGCGAAACGATCCTCACAATCAAACCAATCCTTAATGGCACCTAATCTTGCGCGCCCCTGTTAGGCTGAATTGCACAGCACATCCAAGGTCCAGTCAGTCCATGACGTTGAGCCGGGTGGCTGCCACTGAGGCGTCATGACGCTGCGCCCCAGGTCCAAAGCACATCTGCGTGCCGAGAAACCGAGACCTCGCACGAAAAGGGCACGCTAGAGCCAAGCCAGGGGCCATTGGGCCATGGGCCTGGCTTTCGATAGATTGCTTCTCGGATACAGCGTGCCGAGTGCTCCAGCGTGGCACGACCTCGTTGGCCCTTTGATTCGTCACACCTGGGTTTTGTAACAGACGTCGCAGTAGATCCTGGTTACTTTTCTTATTGCACACGTCAAGTTTGGAAGCTAGCCGTCCTGGTGTTACGTTTCCCTCTCGGGAAGATCCAAAACTTGTATTGTGCGAAATAAGCCTGCCGGCCGCTACGTAGACCATGTCTTCCCCGCGGGAGTGAAGAATGCTGGCGTATTGCGGCTTCCGCCACTTCCCGCGCTCGCGAGTTCTGCCACAACTTAGTAATGCAGAGGCTGACTTCCGAGGAGGAGTGCGTTGTGATGAGGGTCCTGTCATGTGGATCTTCTGGTCAGATTAGACTGGTAATACTACACATAGAATGAAACGAAATGGAAGCTGAGAGTTGACTTTCTTCCAACGGTCATTCAAATTTGAGGGATTCAAACCAACTACTGCCCCGTGGCGATTATCCTCCCGCAACTTCTGTGTGCGTATTGCGCCGTGAATTCAAGCCACAACCGTCGGTCGGCGTCATGCTCTGACAATGTTGCCATCACGGTACCTGGCCTCACCATCGTGCAGGCGCTGACTATCTTATACGAACCCCTGTCTCCCGCAGCTATAGCTAGTTGAACAGACAGGCTCGTTAACTATTGATGGTTGGGCTGTTTATATCGTTCGGTTGGGTCAGATATGCTTCTGGGCTCATGGTCGTGAATTGGACCCAAACTCACGGTCAGATTGGCTGTGTTGGCCGGAATCATCAGCCTGAGAGGGTTATCCAACTCAAAAGCCGCAGTTGGGGTTGGTTGGGTTAACGGACCCTGATTGTATTTGCTAATCCAAGTAGAAAGCATTGTTTTCGTACAGCGTGTCGGCTTCTTTGCAATGACTGATGGCCATATCAAGGGGAGGGTCACGGGCCGTTCAAAAATACATGCCATAATGTCTACTAGATGGATGGGCATTGGGTATGAGTTTTGAAGCTGGCTGTGGTTCTTGGATTGGCTGATGGAGGTAGGTGATTTCGCGCGTTCCTTCATATCTCAACCTAGAGGTAATTCAAATACTGATGCAAGATCTTGAGGATGTTGCCGGGGTAGGGTGGTAACATGAATTACGTCGCCTACGTCAGTATTGTGTTAACCTTTTTTCACCACACGATGGACCTCACATAGCATTGCGAATAGAGGAATGGGGCGATAGGGTAATGGGAGTAAATAACTAGCTGAGTGGCCCTTCTACATATGTCTGCCTCTGTGGGCGCAAGTCAATCTCATTATTGATCCTTTGCCAGACCCTGTAGCCAGCGCTGCCGAAGCGACTTTGCATCCTCGATGTTTTTCTTGGACCGCTGCCGAGAATCGCGAGCTCTCCGATCAAGCCACTCCGTGCGATCCTTGACAAAGGCCTCGAGGCGGTCCTGACGCTGCTCTACCAGGGACTTGCGCAGCGGGTCAAGGGCCTCAATCTTAGGCGGTGATGGGTGACCGCCAGCAGGGAACTCGGGCTTGCGGGCGACTCGCTTCTCGGCAGGCAGAATCTCCAGCTTGGGGCCTGGGAGCGTCTGGTACCAGTACGCCGTGGTCGACCAGTCGTCGCGGAGGTGGTTGGCGTGGCCCGTCTCCAGCGTGACCTTGATCTTCTTGCTGAACCGGACGGGGTCGACCAGATGCCAGCGGTAAGAGACCTGATGGTTTGGGACGTCCTCTTCGTGAATGATGCTCCCGCAGAATGGGTACGCGTTCTTCTGCATGCCCCATCCCTGGCCGAAGTAGTCCTCGCCACCTGTGCCATGCATCGAAGGAGGCCAGGTGTCGTCGTCAATAAAGATCATATCATCGCCCTCGCCCCACCAGGTGCCCTGAAAGTGTGCCACGCTGTGATTGCAGCCAATGTACTGGCCTGCCCCCTCTGTCTCGAGAATGACGTAGTTGTCTTTCCCGTCGAGGTTGGGGACCTGTGTCTCCAAACTGTTTGTCTGGAGGTCCTGTGGCGCCCAGCCGTTGGTTGGGTTCTCTCTTCGCCAATGGGCATGGAAGTACAAGGTGTCCTTGCTCAGTGGCTCTGGATGGAGCTCATAGTCAATGTAGAAGTATTGGAAGTAAGCCTCCTGGCCCTGGTTCTCCACTTCGATACGGGCTCGCTTGTTGAAAGGCATGGGAAGATAGCAGTTGAAGGCAGCGGCGCCTCCAAACTTCTTCTCCTCCGACGGCTTGACAGAGACAGTGAAGGGAAGAGACTGGAAGTTGGCGGCCATGGAGTGCCCCAGACAGAAGAAGTCTCCGATGGGCGCAATGACGTTTGGGGTTTCCGAGTCATCCCAGTACATCTTGATGACGACGTTTCGATAGTAATCAGGATCGCTAACCTCGAAGCTAAGTCCAAGGGCGTTGTGAACCTCCATCATGGCCACACCCGATTTGGAGTAAGGGATCAGTCCAGGTCCGACGATGCGACGGCACGTTTGGACAAACCACAGGTGCGTGATGGTGCCTGGGCCCTCGATGTCGGCGAGAATAGCGCTCTCGCCGGGCTGGATAACCCAGGCATCCTCATTCTTACCACTGTGATCCCAACTGGCAAGGCGTGCAGTCCGAGCCGTCTTGAGTCTTGCGGCATTGGAGAGAAGATCCCCACCGAGAGGAAAGCTTGAAGTGGCCATGTTTGCTTTCTGATTAACTTAGATCGCACGCGTTTCGTTTCTGGGCTGTTATCAAAGTTGAGACTGGCACATGCAGGCTCATATGTCGTTCCTTGGGCATCATATTTATGCTCGATATTGATATTAGAGGGATGAAAGCTATATGCTGAGTAGATCCAGTGCCATTACTGCAGTCCAAAACCCTTGGGACAATTGGGCGTCATCGTACCGCCGCTCAGTCCCTCGTCCCGCGGAGTGTCGGAAGTGCTTACCGATTAGACCTAGTCTGAAAGCTGGCAGCAGCGAAGAACGAATCAACGCTCTTGACTCATATGTTTCGAGCTATTGACGACCCAATATTACCCCAGTTTATCCCTCCATGTGACCTGAAGAGCCATCTCCACCTGTTCGCGGATGCGTATATGCCATTCCGATCCCCGATCCTGTTCCCTTGGACCTTTCAACTACTCACTACGAAGCCAGAGGATACCGGATCTCTCTGAGCGCGTGAAAAGGGCCTTGTGTTTGCGCCCATGGCAGACTATCCCAGGAAAAGAGCATCCATTGCATGCGAAATCTGCCGGGCACGGCGCACGAGATGCGATGGCCAGCGGCCTCGCTGTGGGTTCTGTACTACACACAATGCGGACTGCATCTACCGCCAGGCCGCAGAGCCTCCCCCATCTAAGTAGGTACATCTTGGTTGTTTCTGGATCGCCCGGTGACGCGATATTGGCTTCATAATCATAAGATCTAGAGGACTGATGTGAATATACTCAAGACTGGAAAGCGAGGTTGCAGCCATCAGACAACAACTTGACCAGGTTCTTGAAATACTCGCAGAAAGAAACGGACCGGTCCCGGACCGGCCGATATCCATCCCAACGCATGTATCTACCAATCCTGAGGGCATGTCTACGTATACGGACCAGAGCAGGCCCGCTACCGACATAGTTGACGACTCCACCTTCCCCGTAATGACTATTCAGCGGCAATCCATGATGGAGGTTCTCAATCTCGATCCGGACACAGGCTCCTGGCTGATTGGTTTGGAAAGAGAACCTCTCGGCGGGTCTCACAAATCGCGTATGCCTGCATCCAAAATGTTCATGCTGAGGAACGAGCGTGTTGGATCCTCGCTGGGTGCATTCGCCGATAGGATCCATTGCTGGTACCCAGTACTCTCCTTCGAGTTTCCCACAAACTTCTCCAGCTTCCTCAGTGGACACGTGTCCAGCCCAGTGGACACATGTCTTGCCATGTTGGCTCTGGCCATCGGCTCCCTGGCCGAGAAGGGGAATATTGCTGACGCCTTGCATGAGAGGCCAGATGCGCCTTATTATGACGAAGCCGCTGGGATGTTGCAAGACATCCTCTGTGACTACACGTTGGGCGGCCTTCAATGCCTGATTTTGTTCAGTATTTACTTCATGTGTCGCCTGAAACCATGCCAGGCCCACGACTACATCCTCATGGCATCTTTCAAGGCACAAAACATGCTCAAGAGCCGTACCTTCTCGGATGACAGCTCCCAGTCCGAGTCTCTCCAGCGCGCGTACTGGGCTGTCCTCCTTATAGAGAGTGAGTTGGCTGTCCAGCTAGACCTGGCCGAAAGCGGAATATGGAAGTATGACGACAATGTCCCATTACCAGCTGGAGACCACATTTGGCAACATCCAGCAGAAACCGACGTGTCTCCAGACTCACACATGGACCATCTATCACCGCAGGATTCAACAAACTTGACGCGATCGTACTTCATGGCCGAGATAGCTATGCGGAGGATGCTCCAGCGCTGCACAACCTCTGTGAGCAAGTCGGCCGGCGGGCACCTCCAGTACGCACCGTTGATAGCTGCCGAACTCGAGCTCCAGCTGAACGAATGGTATGATTATCTTCCCCCGCTCCTACGTTTCCAGAAAAGCCCTCCCAAGGTCAGTGAGTTGGCCATACTCCCCACCACGCTTTTCCTACAGACGCAATACTCGGCGTGCAAGATCTCAATATTTTGGCCCGCGATATACCAGGCGATTGAGACTGGGACTGCAAACGACGAATTGCTGCATTATTGTGAGAAATTCCTTGATGAATACATGTCATTTGTTTTAGCTGCCTCCGCCTCTCTGAAAAGCTGTCTACCGAATGCTTGGACGCTTGCTGCGAGGTATAATATGGGATTCCGTTTCTACCACGAATATGACACGGTAGCTGATTGATTGTTTAGCTTGTTCATCATATCAATGGCTGCGATCAGGGCACTCTCGGTAGACTGTATACGGGAACTACGGCATGAGCAACTGTACCATTACATTCATGCTGCTTTGGAGGCTGTGGGAGAGGTCGCGCCATTTAGTCCTTCGCTAATGGCTCTACAAGGAATATTCAGAAACGCCGTAGACTCCATCAACTCATCACCAGGCTGATCCCGCAAATTCAGGTAATGAAATTATTGAATTGGATGGACCGAAATCTATGATGCGTCGTTTCTATTAATCTTCGTAGACGGTTCCCAGTCCCGTCCAAATCTCTGTCCTCTTGAACGTGGCCGCGCCATCTACACCCTGGGCAAACATGCTTAGACAAAGAGCAGCAGGGTCGCTTGTGTAAATGACAGTCGACAGAGCAAATCGCTCATTTGCGTATATCTCGAGGGTGTTCCCATCGGAGAAAATTCGCAACGTGAGTGGCTCAAGCACGAGCTGGTTTCCTTGTTGCCGGGTAAAAAGTGTCATTGCACCTCGTTCGTCACTCCTGTTCACATCCGAGAGCGTACTTGAATTTGATCGTATGACAGTAATTTCCTCTTCTTGGGGCAGGAAGCTGATTGTTGTAAACGTTTTCATGTCAGTTGTATGGCGAACGTGGAAGCCAACTGCCGTACACCCTTCTCGTATCTCGATTGCCGTTTCCAACTCCCACCGAGCGGACTTGACCGGTGCAAGATACGCTTGTGCTGTATCCAATGGTAAAGTGAGACTCTCGACTACGGCAGAGTCGCCTTTTCTGAGTTGCGAGAGCTCTGTCAAGGGACGGATACCCAATGTCTCGATCACGTACCTCGATGACTGAGTTTCTTTAAGCGCATACACAGAAGTAATCTCGCTTAGTGGAGTTTTAAGCGCCTTGACTACTCCTGGTATTCTCTGCAAGAACAACTCACGGGGTAGTGCAAGACATCCTGCCCAACCCTTGTCCTTGATATATCTGGTTGCGAGATCTTCTTCTTTAATCCACCCCCACACGATCCGGCGGCTTCCAATGGGGTCATAGAACGATCCCGCAGCATAGTAGCATCCATGGTCTAGAAATCCGTCGAAATCGATATTCATTGAGACACCGTCTTCGCCTTTGATCAGAGAGCCACTGAGCCAGAATGAATAGCTGACCGTTCTTCTCGGAACTGAATCCTGGACGGAGTCTGGATTTTCCATAAGCCATGGCCTTTCATGGCCCCCTTCTGAGCCACATATGACAAATTCCCTGCTTGATTCAGCTAGTTTATCCCATAGAGTCATGAAGTTGCCGCACTCCCAGTTCACGCCAAGATCTGCGCTCCACTTGGGCGAACGGCGGAAATTAGGAGTAGAGCTCGTTAGGATACCGATGTAGTCCCAGCTGAATAGCTTATCCGGCTGTATGGCATAGAGAAATATGGCAGGCCCCTTGTCCTTTATGCCGCCAGAAATAATACCATACAGGGTGCCTTTAGTCCCTCGAAACCGGTCGAGGGACTCCCACCGAGAAAGATAAGGGTCTCTCCAGCCAGTGACGGTTAAAGATTCCGGCTCCTCGGGCAGGATAGGATTTCCTTCAAACTTGTCCCACGTAGCCCCTCCATCTTTTGATACTGCAGCTGCAAGGCCTTCGCTTCCCCGGACATAGGGAATTGACCAGTGGATCGGGAGATGGCAGACTGACGTATAGAATAATGTGATCATTCCATCTTCTCCATGAGGTCCTGATGGCATAAAGCACCCCGTGAAAACTCCTTCTTTATCATAAACCTTATCTGGAGAGAGAGCCGGTGAAGTGTTCGAGCTGTGCTTCCATGTTACAAGGTCTTTGCTTGTGGCATGCCCCCATGACATGTTGCCCCACTCGCAGCCTCTAGGATTCCCTGAGACGGGATGTCAGTGCTAACCGTGCTCGAAATTTGAATTGTTGAAGAATACGAACATTGGTAGAATAGATGATATGTGCTGCTAACAGGATCAAACCCTGGGCCACATGGATCATTCATCCAGCCGTGAGGTGCTGAAAAGTGAAACCAAGGGCGCATAGCCTTGGAAAATTCGTCTTGCTGTATACTGGGCTGCTGCATTTTCTTTCTATTTCATAGAATATGGAGGATTTGTTTTGATATGAAGACAAGATAAATCTTGGGTCTTGATGTCTGAGAGGAGGGTTTGGTTAAGAATCGACACCAAGGCAGAAATATGTATACGGATGAGAGAGTTCGAGTATGAAAGATGCCAGACCCGACATCTCAACACAATATACACTCGCTAAGCGTTAATACTCGACCCTATGAACATCCATCTCTGCCACTTCCTCTTGAAGCTTACTCCACCTTTCCGCTTTCTGACATGGTATCGGATGCACCTCCGACACTCCGCATATGTCTCAAAAAATCCTCACCCATCCAATCTAAGTCCTAGCGCTCGCGGAGTCATTCTATGGTTCCGCGGTGTGGGTCATCGAACCGTTTTCCTGCCGTAGAGCCTGTGGACGATCAAAGTTGCTTCCAGTTCACTCCATGTCACCATTTCGTGCTCCCCAGATCAGACGACAAATGCATGAAAGCAACTAAGTAAAGCGCTAAAATACTCCATATGGGGAACTCCGCATTTACGACCGCATCCCTGGATTCACCGCGTGCTGGGAAGATTGCCACATGGGGGTTGCTCCATTCAGTCTTGCTGTACATTGCATGTTAAAACCTGCTTTCTCTACCAACTCAAGGAGTATAAATACTCTATGTTTTCTCTAACGACTAACTAAAATATCTGGCAAAATCATCCAATATCATCCTGGTCACCCATATCAACTATCAACAATACGCTAGCTATGCATAAAAAGTATAACACCCCCGTCCTACTCAAAGCTGGACTCTTATAGAGTAAAACGCTGATGAGAACTCTCTTAGTATTGACTACACAACTGTCGATGGTACCCAAAAATGGGCTATCCTTCGAGAGCATTGGAAATATGGACTGTGGGGTAGGTGGACAGCATCGTTGGCCTCTCTCGGCAAGTGAAGACTAACCTGGACAGCCCTTTGGTCTTCTATCGGTTCCATGATGCTTGGCTGGGACTATGTCGCTGGAGGTCAGCTCGCCGCACTTCCCGAGTTTAAAAAGCAGTTTGGAGTTCGTCAAGAAGATGGCTCCATGCTTCTCCCAGCCCATTACCTTGCTGCCTGGGCTGCAGCTGGCCTGGCATGTGACATCGTTGCCGCTCTTATTTCAGCACCATTCCTGGAAAAGTACGGACGAAAACACCAAATAATTGTCGCGTCGATCATCTCTGTCGTTGGTGTATTGCTGCAACAGCTTGCTACAGAGTGGAAGATGCATCTAGCTGGTCGGGCAGTAAATGGTAGGGGAGTCTCCAAAGCCATCGCTTCCCTTCACTCCCCTCTACTACGGTTACTAAAGATAACACAGGTGCTGCCGTGGGCATAATGTTCACCATTTCGCCTCTTTGGATAGGAGAAACTTGCAGGCCAGAACTGCGAGGCTTATTTCTCTGCTTATTCAATGCAAGCATCGTCCTTGGACAGTTTCTCATGTATGTGATTGTGCAGTCATTCTAGATCCTAGCATATCTAACTTGATATAGTGTTGTTATTGGCTACGGGGCCAGTAACATTCAGGGCAAGTGGCAGTGGTGGACAGTCGTCGTCTCGATGTACATATTCCCTGGTAGGTCCAAGGTAAATGAATTATTTATCAACGCTTGGCTTACGATGATTCACAGCTACCCTGCTTGCTGGATACCCCTGGTTTCCTGAATCACCTTACTGGCTTATACGTGAGGGAAGGGTAGACGATGCCAGGAGGTCTCTTCAACGAATGTACAGCCGCGGAGCTCAAGAGTTCATCGAGATAGAGATGCGTCGGCTGGAAGAGGATGTTCGATTCAATTCCGAACTGAACAGCGATCTTGAAGATGTTGGGTTCGAGATTTTGGGACTTCACATTGGCGCCGAACTTCAGTGCTTTCGAGGAAGCAACCTGAAGCGCACACTTACGGCCATGTTTGCCGCCAGCGGACAACAGCTGATCGGAGCAAGCTTTGTCATTGGCTACGCAACCTATTTCTTTGAACTGATTGGCATCTCCAACTTCTTCTTGGCATCTTGCCTAATGTATGTTGTCATGCTACTCGCGACCGCGGCGGCATTCCCTCTTGTCGAGATTGTGGGGCGTCGAGGTCTGATTGTGCCTGCTCTTTTCGCAATGAGCGGCCTGTTGCTATTGATGGGCATCTTGGGGGTGTTTCAGGACAGGAGCGGCGTCCTTTGGGCCATCGTCGTCATCACGTACCTCTGGGCCGTGGTATATCAAGTGTCGCTGGGAGCGTGTGGCTTCGTGCTCGCGTCCGAGGTCGCGACCTTGCGTCTCCGAGCAGCTACGCAAGCATTGGTCACCGTCATGAATGGCGTATGGGGCCTCATCATGCAATTTACCGTACCGTACATGATCAACACGGACGCGGGGAACCTTGGTGGCAAAACAGGATTCATTTTCTTCGGCACTGGTATCCTGACCGCTATTGCAGGGTATTTTCTCTTTCCTGAGACAAAGGTATACAATTCGGTTTACCCTGAGTAGTTGCTCTTTCTAGCATTACTAAAGCTGACGATATCTTTACCTAGGGTCTTTCTTTTGAACGCATCGACGAACTGTATAACAAGGGTACTGCTCCAAGACATTTCAAAAAGAAATCTATCGAGATGGATCTTTCACTGGTATCTAGGCAGGGAGTAAAAGATGGAGAGGATATTGCGCATGTGGTTGAGATTTCAAAGGTGTGAAGGGAGCCCTTAGGAAACCTTGAAAAAGCCAGTGTAACTTTCTGAACCCTCCGGGCGTAGTAAACTTCATGTCATATTATAGCGCGAGTGCACTGGTCGGCATAGCATAGCTGAATATCCGGTATGATGATAAATCGGAACCTAACCGCCAAGGCAAATCGGTTTCACGTCCATAATTCCCAACGGCGTGTAGAGAGACTATTTCGAGTCATCTCTACGTTTGGTTTCGAGTGATTCTTGTTTCAACCCCTAGGCTGCCCCTAGGTCTCTCGATTGGTACCGTATGAGTCATTTATCCTGGACATCAGTTCAGGTGGCTTCTGATACCATTTCAAGGTTTGAAGGTCGCCTACGCCGGCAAATAAGAGGAGCCTAACATGAATGCCTAGCTCGATATGTTGTGGTCGGTGTCCTGAAGTCCTGTAATTTTCTCTGTCGTTAATGTACTAGGCCTATGGCTTCTCATCGAAGGCGGGGTTAGTGAACACCCACATCTTTCTTTGCACGTAGTCCGCCACAAATCTATGCAACGAAGTCATAAGACCGACTTGAATCACATACACCGGTATCCCGAATGGAAAATCCGCGTCATAAACGGCGAGTAGACCGCCTATGAAAACGGCGTGTGCGTACACGGTAGGGCCCGTGAAAACGCGGTCCAACCTCAGAATGCGGTAAGAAAAGATCATCAGCCTCACATAGATAAAAGCGCACACCAGCTTGACGGAGCCGCAGTGGAGCTGCTCGTCATCTGTATAAAGAGCAGCCAACGTTAGGAAAGGGCGAGTCAGGCCCGTAACCTGATACGTTGGTCGGGTCGTTTGGTCCCCTCGGATCAAGGTCTTCGCTAGATGCATTGTGGTTGCTGATTGGAACAAGCAAAGCACTAGATCCAAGAGATCTGGGGAAGGTTGATCTGTCAAGGCTGTAATGTGATAACGAATGATCTCGGCAGCTCCAGCAACCATATGTATATATAGCGGAATTGTGCTGGCTTTGCGAAACTTAGCAGCATAGAGTGGTGCACTTCTGCGCGTATGGTAGATCAATACCGCAAAAAAGGTACACAGTAAGAGGATTGGTGGCACCGAGTCGATTTCGAATGCTGAAGACATATTCGATGTAAGTCCTGCTTACTTTGGTGGCGGGGTTTGGGTTCGACTGCGGAGGCTGCATTGGCTATCAGAATCCTGACCACGGACACTCCCGCAATTTAATACCGCCGATGCCGCTATGGTGTCATGGTCCCGGAGCGGCCTACTGGGCGAAATGGCCGGCCTGTGAACGGATTGTCGATTGACGTGGCTAAGGCGTCTCACTAAGTCTTAGCGGTACGTGATGAGGGCAAATCGCGTTGTGCCAAACGCCGAACACCGAACGCCGCTAGTAGTCATCGTTGTTATAACTGCATCATGCCGCCGGCAGCTTGGTAGCTATGGGAAGTGTATTACTCCCGCACGGCCCGCGATCTGCGAGTGGTCTAGTCATAGTCAAGTCACTAAAGGGGCGGTACATTTCAGCTACGGTCCGGTTTCACCCTTTTGGATCGTTGGCCTCAAATTCGTGTGAAGGGAAGACAGAGGTTTGAGAAGTCTTTCTACACACGTCTGCGCGTGTCGCATACTTCCCCGCCGTCATCATCAAAGAGTATACACGACGCCCCGTTTTTGCATGACCTTGAAATCGTTATCATAGCATCGAGACTCGTCGTTTATGCGGGATCTGATAATGAAAGAGGAATTTTCTTGATTCCAACGCCCCTCATGTGGCCTCACCATCGAGCCTTCGTTGGTTGGTATAGAGATGACGTCTAGTATAATAGCCTGCCGGTTGATGAAACAGTCTTATGATCGCCCTACATTCACTATGCACCCCCACTTTAGAGACTTGGAGACTCAAAGGAACTCTGTATCTACAGCCATTTTGGACTACAACTCCCAAAACGCCCGAGCCAGTACTGCTGGAATTACATACTCCTAGCTGGAAACCTGGTCTATGCGTCGGCGATCAATCATGTCGGCGGTCAATCATGTCGGCGGCCCCGGCATGATACAGATTAGACTCTAAACATTTGGGAATGCCTACGATCCTGGGACGGGAGCGCTCTGATAGCCCAGTGGGACGTTCGTGTGCTCTTGTGGGGTGTATGAAACAATTTCCAATGTCAGAATTCTAGCGAGGCTACGTTGCTCCGGAGGCTGTGCCTGCCCTGCCGGATGCTCAGGAATTGTTGGGCGGCGGGCAGGAGAGGCGTGACCGAATAGTAGGTAGTATGTATAGATCTCAAGAGTCATGTGGCGGCTTGAGTGCCTCCCGTGTTAAATGTCTCGCACTTTTGCTAGACCATATAGTAGCGCGAGACCTCTTCGACAGAGCTAGCAACATGTTCACATCAGATAATCACAAGCTGGCAGAATGAAAATTGCTATCTTCAACACATTGTTTGACACCATGCAGTCGAGGTCATCCAAATCGGACGAAGCAGAGATTGAATCGTGATCCCTCTCACTCAATTATAACTAGTCTAAGCCTTAAACAAGGTAATATATAAAGGTACTGTAAACGAGCGCTTGAGATCAATATCAAATAAGAAAAGTAGAGGAGATGCTAGTAGCGCAACGAGGTATGAATGACAGTTGAGCCTGCTGAGACAGGATAAGGGGTGACATGTGTATCCTGAGAGGCTTAGGCGGCCTTCTTCCAAGTAGCCTTCAGATCCCTCTTGATCTCTTTGCTCATCGCCTTGGCCTCGGCCTTCATGGCCTTCTTCTCCTGCTTGGTGAGCTGGCCTGACTTCTTGGCCGCCTTGAGGTCCCTCGTATACCCGGACAGGACACTGGCGACGGCCTCGACTGTGCATCGGGTGCAGCCCTGGCCATCCAGCGCGGTGGTGCCTGGAGCGAGGGCCTGCAGCCTGTCGTTGACGTGAAACTGGCGCAGGTGCTTGTCAATCGTGGGCGTCGTGGAAGTGCCGTGGCGGGGGCAGATTCTAACAGCGGCCACCAGGTTAGTTAGGCATCCAAGCAACAAATATTTTTAAGAGACCTACTGTTGCTTTTCAGCGACATCTGGGACACCTGAGGCGGCATCGTAGACCGGAGGGGCCGCTGCTGATGGGAGGACTGTTTGAGTCATGATGGATGATCCCGGAAGTTTGTTAAAAGATAAAGCTGTTGATTGTGAGTAGGTTGGTAGCTGATGAGGTAACAGTGATGAGAATGCAGATCTCTAAATTCCAGCTGGACCATTGTGTCTTTATATTGAGACATGACATTGCCTGGCTGAGACACTCGGACAATTCCGAGCCCCGGGCCGTGGTCATCAAGCCCGTCTGACACGGGGAATCTGTACCCATCAGAAGGCGGCCACACACTCGGCAAATTCGGCGACCGAGCACAGCCAGAGTCTCCATCCGGGACGCATAGCCGAAGCCTAGAGGCAGCAATCGCCATGCGGGTTCGTCGACTGGACACGCACTGCATTGCGCAGCCCTACACCAACTCGGATATCGTCCAATACCGACGCACGGTCTTTTGCCAGGTGCGTTTTACTATTCCGGAACCAATTATTGGTGGGTTCAGAAATTTGCCTCCCTGTCACAAATAAGCGATACAGCCAATGCAAAGCTCCGAGCCACCAAAGACGAGCTGGAGGCTTATGCCCGAGAAATCGACTAGTTCAACCGTGCCTGTTCATCAACTAGGCAAATTCCCAGCAAGATGCTTTATTATCGTATGGAGAGAGTGACGTAGCTTTCCCCGGGGCGGTCGTGGGAAGTATTACTCGATGGAGTCTACAAGACACGCTTGAGCGGAGGCTTTAAGTTAGCCCAGGCCCTGTACAAAGCATTTAGCTCTCAATCTATTCCATAGCCCTTGGTATAAGCGATTCCTCTCTATTCTCGAAGATGCGGACTGATGGCTTAGTTGTGTGGTAGAGCGTGTTTCTGTCTATTGTTTGGATGAAGTGAGTCACTACTGACGCCATAGGCTACACGTGGACATATTTATAACCGTGGCGGGTAAGCTACACACAGCGTTCCTAATTTTAGCATTGTGCTCAGAACAGGCATATTCTAGCACGAACAGTGCGGGACATAACGATGCAGCCACCAATGGGCCACTTTATGGTTTGTGAAAAGCAAGCGAATACTACGAAAAAAAGCCATTGAGCGAGAGCTCATCTTCCCACCAAACAGTTCATGCCGACTATTTCCCATTTTACTGAGACTTCATTCCATGTGTGACAGGTCATTTCTTGGTGTAATGCTAATAATTAAATATATACCCGTAGTACGAATCGGAAACCAAGAGATCGTTCTCCCTCTAAAATAAGAGATCCTTGTTTCCACCCAACGCAAAAGTGCTCTTCTAGTCTAAGTCTAAGCCCAATTCCAAAGGTGTATTCCTCTAACGCAACAAATCTGTACATCTAACATGTGTAATCGCTCAAACAATATGCTTCGCTCGTTTCATACGTAGCTCTTTTCCTTGGTCGGACCAGGGGAAGTGGATGACAGGAACGCTGAAAAATGAATTACTACAATCAATCTTTTGTTAGCTTATGATCGTCTTTCGAAGAAAAGTGAACGGCAGTTGAAAATATGATGACTAACCTGCTGTCTTGGATACCAGCCAAAGCATTGTACCAAGCTAAGAACGCCGCAAGGAACCCAAAAAAGCCGCCGGCTTTCTTGAGAGCGGCAGCGGCGTCTGCATTGCCCATATCATGAGCATAGTTCTCGACAGAAAGGCATAGGAAAGCGATGTCGAGGACGAAAAACAATGAGAAGAAAGCCACCGTGGATCTGAGAGTGCACAGCAGCAAGAGCGTGGTGAAAATGAACCAGCCGGTCAGGAAGAATCCGACTGGGTTGGCGGTATCTCCCTCGTAAGGTCCATCTTTGAGCGTGATTCCCCACGGTTCAGGTGTCTGGAGAAGGCCGTAGGCGATCCAGAATCCTCCGTATGAGGATAAAGCTGTCGCGCCAAAAGTGTTCCCAACAGCCATTTCCCTAATTGGTGACGAGTTAGTATGGGTGGCTTTGAAAAACTGGCTACAGAACAGAAACATACCACATGCCAGCCAAGAGCTGTACTACACCACCATATGCAAACGCCAGTGGCACAACAATAGTCGGGGCTGTGACCCCACGAACCTCCATGTTCACACACGAGAGGACGAAAGTGGTCAAGGCAAAGGCACTCAACCCCAGAGGAGCAGGGTTGGCGAACTTGCGGTGTTCTAGCGGCCTCCACAGGCCAGGGTGCAACCGACCACCAGAGGGCAGAGCCATACCGTTCGGGAGGAAGAGGTTTCCATTGGGGAGATACTGAGATTCATCCGGATTGAAGTGAGCCTCAGAGGTATTTGAAAGCACCGGGTGGAACCCGTTCTCCTTGGGCAGGCCTTGGTGCAGTTGTTGTTTTGGGTCCGGGTCAACCATCGTGATCGTTTGGAATTTTTTTCTCAAACGAAATATCGGGTGATATTTTCACAACAAGGAGAATAAATAAATTGAAAAGACAGGATTCAGTCGCTCTGGATTGGATACACTGATGATGATAAGAATTCGTAAAGGGGTGATCGGGGATATTCACGGGCCAGATATTCTTTATATTCCAGGTGGTGGGGTGATTTTGAGCCAAGACACGAGATTTGCTCTAGGGTCTGCGTCTAGAGATAGAGACGCCGTGGAGTGACCGAAGAGCGGGTTCCGGGCCTTGATCAAGAATTTTCCCTCGGAGTGAGACGAGATAAGAAATATGAAAATGGTGCCACGGCAGAGCTACGTTTCAGCGCCCTGTTAGTATTGCCGCACTCCAAGCTGCCCAAGCTCTCGTGATGCGGACATCTCATCGCTACAGTCATGGCAGGGGGAGTGCGAGATTTTGTTAGGCTCCGTAGTGGAAGAGGTACCGTCAGGCACTGGTCCAAGTATAGCCAATCCATATCAGAGCTGCGAGGAGGTCCAGAATTGACAGCTGGCCGCCAAACCCAAGTGGAAGCACGCGTGTGTGTGTTCCCTGGCTCGTCTAATTACGGACGACCGACAGAAACCTGTTTCGACGATCGCCAGCGACTGAACGAGGCCCCTGAGCGAGCGCAGCATCGACATCGACGGGAACAGGGGGCTCTATGCACAGCCAACATCCTCACAGTCCAGACCCCCAGCAGAATCCTGACTCCTTTATTATGGCATGTATTATTATGGATGTTAGCCATCGCCATCGCGGGTCATTTCACCATCACGACAGCCTAATAATTCATTCCTCCCCTCCCCACCAGTTAAGCTTGTTCCAAAGTTTGTTGCCAGCCAGCTCCACAATCATAATGAATTTAATATTATTTCGTAATAACCTGCTCTTCCAGCTTTCTTCCTTGTATTCTAATCTTGACTACATGATACCTGCTGTGGCTGTCGGGTCATGTCGGCTTATTAGTCGCTATCCCAGCTCGCTGATTCAGTGCTGAATTTTCCGATTGATCACCTTCCACATCCCTGACACCTGGCGACATACCGGTAAATTATGTCGCCTGAGATGACATACCTGATTACTTGACGCGCAGCGACTGACTGGCGAAAAAAATGCGGAATGTCGGTCAGCGTTCCGGGATTCACCGTTAGGGGTGCCCTTGGGTTAGAACATTATTTTGCGCTCCTTCACTAATAATTGTCTGGCATCCAACCACGAAGCCCCTTTCGAGATTGGCAGTGCAAGTGCATGGACCCTTTTTTCTTACGTTTACGATCATTGTTCCAGGCTGTGGATGGCCATCATCACGTTACTATCAATCCTCCAATCCAAGCGATCGAAAATGTACGTTGATTCAATGTCAACAGCAAAATAATATGCCCAAGATATATACAGGGAATAAGAAGACTCCATACAGGGGAGTTAAGAAAGGTAAGGAAGAAGAGAAATAGAAGAGAAAGAAGAAGAAAAGAAAAGAAAAAAGAAGAGGGAAAAAGGAAAAGAAAAGAAGAGAAATGAAAAAGACAGCCTAAGAGGTCGTCGCAATGGTAGCTTTCCAAGCAAAGAAGCTCCCCAGAGCTGCACTGATCAAGAAGAAATAGGTCGCCGCCATGCCACTCATCAGTCCGACAAACACATGGTTCGTCAGCCATCGTGCTGCCGCTCCGCAAACGATGGCCATCCACACGACGAAGAATCCGTTCTCCCACCAAGCCTTCCAGACCCCGTCCTTTTTAGCCTTCTCGCTGCTCGATCTCATCGTCGTACCCCATCCATCCGCCGTCAGCGTAACCAAGCTCCAGAAATACACTGCCGGCATTGGAATGTGGTAGAAAATCAAGCCAGGGAGAAGCCATTTCCACGTTCCCGGCGTCAACCGATGTGTGTTGCGGAGATAGTTGTACGCCCACCCGACGAGGCATCGGATTGCGAGATCTTCTATTGGCAGTGTGACCAGCGCCTTTCCTGTCAAGAAATAGATGACGGTGGCGACGAGACTGCCGATGGGGACGAATTCGCGCTTGATCATGCCGCAGAACAAGAGAGGGTGGTTTACAGCGTACACGCTCGGCTCGAGCAGTGATTCAATGTGGGTTCCACGAGACCAGCGGATCTGCTGCTTGAGCCAGCCGGCCAGAGTGGTAGGCGTATCGGTCGCCGTGAGGACATCAGAGGCGAAAGCGACACCCCATCCGCGTTTAAGTAAGTTTGTTGTCAAGTGACGGTCCTCGTTGATGATCTGTACGAAATCACTATCAGCTCTGCAACCTGGAGGCGTGTTCTATAAATCTTACCATCCGCTTGCCCATGATCGTTTGCAGGTACCACGGGATCAGGATGTGTGGCAGCGCAGAGAGGCGAAACATGGTGCTTGGCCCGCACTGGCAGTCGCTCGACAACGTTGAACCAGCCATCGATCGATTGACATATAGTTCCCCCCAGTACACCGTCTCGGCCATTCGGGCGACGGCTGACTCGGTGCTGTTATGCAGAAACAATCCAGAACTTGCTCCTCCGATCGCAGGGTCCGTCGCCATCGTATCGACCGTGCCGCTGATCGAATTACTCGAGACTATGGAGTCGGAGTCGGAGCTCCAGATGAATTCGATGCCCAGAATATCCGCGATGGCAAGAGAGAAGATGTATGATGTAAACATG